TAACACTCAAACCCTCAATATAAAAGCTTAATGATATTTCACTGTTTAGCTTAAATTTATACACTTGGGTTTATTGTGTTCAAATTACACTCCTTCAACTGAACATTCCACAACTGGAATTGTACTCTATCTTGCCTACATTTATAAGATTATTCTTTTTCTTAAACCCTCCCATCATTAATTTTCTGTAGCTAACTTGAAGCTGCCTACACAAACCTTAAATGAGCTCTTTGTAGAGTTCTGAAACTGCTTATGTTCTCAGCAGTTACTATAATCCTGCAACCAAATAAATTGTTATTGATGGTCAAAGATTATTCTATCTATAAATATGAGTGAGTTCTGACTGTTATTACAATGTTTTCTTTAAAATGAGAGGTAATATGATGAAATTCTATATGTAGTCACTTACAAAAACTTATAAAATTTTTGTAGAAACTTTTTCTATTTTTTCTGACTGCACAGTCATTAATTTCACCATCTAGTCACTTTAATCACACACACTGTATGTTATGCAGTCTCTACTTAGACTCACAATCCAAACTGAAATACTATCTAATAGGATGTGTCAACGCTCTGGAAAAAGATGAGAGATTAATAATTCTGTCTCAAGTAGAGTCAAGGAGAGTTTCTGTGGATGGCGTTGGGACTTACTCAATGACCAGAGTCCATAATTCAGGTGGATTTAATAATCAGGATTTAATAATCCAGAACTAAGTGTTCAGTAATGGATTAAGAAAAAGCATCAGCTAAACTTTAATGATTAAAATAAAATGAATGCCAAATCTTACACCCAGGCATTTGTATTGCACATTGTCTAATGAGTATAATTCAATTAAAGCTACTGATTCCCCTTTACAGTGGCTATAGGGGCATTCTCTCATTGAGGACTGTCGGCCACACTTCTAAGTAAAATACAGTACAGTACTCTAAGCAAGGTTAGTTTAGGTGTTCTTCCATTTATTTACATGCCCTCAGAGTAAAAAGAAGCAAAATCTTGGAAGTTCTTTGTTTAATTTCTTTCTAAAAACAGCAGGGTTCTAGTTGTGAGGGGTTTTGTTTTAGTAACTTCTGATCTAAATGCCATGGGGATCCTTTGTTTATCCTTGGCACTGCATAAGCACAAATAACACAAAATGCCAAATCAACATTTCTCAGGACTGTCCTCCCTGTTTCCTAGGAATCAACAATGGTAGGCCCAGCAATGAACAGATGAGTAAGACCAGACTTGGGGTGGTCATTAGGTGTCTCTGGGGTTGAGAAATTCATGGAGGCAGACAATTAGTACAAAATGCAACTGTGAAACAGGATGCAGAACAGACTTTGGTTTGTGTTGAAGGAAGAAAGAAACAATATGATCTCTGTCCTCAGGACATTTGCAATCTATTAAGTGGAATCACACAAATTGCTGATGGTAGAGGTGAAACATGGCCAAATAACCATCCACAAAGTCACAGAGGTTCTACCTAACGGAAGGAGGGAACACACCCAAGAGCTGTTATGTTTTAGATCTAAAATGTCTCCCAAAGGTCTCATACATTTGAAAAGTGATTGGATCATGGAGGTGCTATAGTCACCACTGATGATTTCAGTAGCTGAATGTGCTGTTAGGAGGTGGTGCCTGGTTGAAAGAGATGGCTCACTGGGAGGTGAACTGGGAAAGTGTATTTTTTTCACCTGCTCTTCCCTTCTCTGCTTGCTGGATGCCCTGTGGTAAACAGCTTTCCTCCACCATGCTGTCTGCTATGCTATTTCTGCCTTGGAGCCAGCCAACCATGGACTTAATCCCCTGAAACTGTGAGCCAAAATAAACCTCTCCTCCTTTAAATTGTAAGTGTTGGGTATTTTTTCCTATTCACAGAAAAGTAACTAACGCAAGAGCTCAAGCAGGAAAGGGCTGAGAAATTCACCATAAAAAAAACTCTAGCCACAGCCCATCCCAGTCCAGCACAATCAATAACTAAACTGCAATTTATGGGCGATTCCTGCTCATGCAAGTCCCTCCAGAAACGTCTACACCTGCTATATCTGTATTAGCGAAGCACTGGAGTTCTGTGTCAGTCTGGTTAATATGCTGTATGTGCCCAATATTTGAACATCATGCACAGCCCAGGGAGCCAAACAAAAACCGAACCTAACACTTTCTCAGTTTCTTTGTCTCTCTCATAGTTTCTCTTTCTCCATCTCTTCTACACTATTCTTTAAAAAGAAAAAGAGAAGGGAAGGAAAGACAGACAGAGAAATTTCCTGTCACCATGGCACATACCTGTCCAGCACTTGGGTGGCTAAGGCACAAAGATCATGAATTTGAGCCCAGCCTGGGCAACTTAGCAAGACCTTATCTAAAAAATAAATAAAAATTAAACACACAAAAAAAACCAGAACAAAAATCAATCACAGACATGAGTTTTGGCATGTCACTTGAAGACAAGGATGAAGGGTAAAAATATCTTTCAGTCCACTAGGAGATGGGGAACCAGACTTCCTTTGTTCTCATGTTTCATTTTGTTGAAGAAGGTTGAGACAGTAAGGAGAGAAGATATATTGATGATAAGTCAAGAAATAAATTTTTTTAAAAAGAAATAAAATTCTAGTATTCTGCATATGTCCAATCATAAACGGACTTTCATCATTTCTTGGATTCTGCCTTGCCAAAATGTCTGAATAATTGAGCTTTATAGCAGCAAAAACCACATTGCCAGGCCACAGATTCCACAGCAGTCTTTTGATAATGGCATATTTTGCTGGTTATGGACAAAAGAATGTGCAATTTTCTGTTGACCACTCTGGGTGCTTTATTTACTAGAGGTTGAGAGGGAGTAAATACTGCTCTTACTGTACAACAAGAGTAATGTCTATTAAGTGCTGTGTGTTAGACTATACTGAGGAAAGGCTTTACATTCTCCCATTTGATCATCATAAGCCTCTATTACCCCATTTCATAGATATCTGAGGAGCAAAGATGTAAGTAACTTGATTCAGATCACAGAACTGGTAAGCAGGAGAGCTGGATTATCTGACTTCAAAAGCTCAGCCCCAACTGCTTCTAACTATTTGATGCCAATTTCAAAAGTCAAAGACTTCTAAATCAGTACTAATTCCCCAAATCCCTCCTCTCTGATCCTGGCACAGCCTCAGTTGGAATGACAGAGAATGTAGATATGAGTAAGAAAACAGAATTTGACATTCACTAAATTAAAAGAACAATCTCTTCCTTCAGAGACAATATTACTTTATATCAAACTTCATTTTTAATGCTTTCATGATTCTTTAAAATAATCAAAATGTTCCAACCAAGATGTCAAAATGAAGGAATATCTTAAAATAAAATCCCACCTTCACCCCTTGATAATAAAGTTGAATTATAAATCCCTTTTAACAAGTCTAGTCAGTAGAGGAACAATTTTCTTCATTTTAATGATTTTTTTGATATTTTTCTCTCCTTTTAATTATCCCTTCACAAAAATTTGAGTGTTTGCAATGCTCTGGGCAAAGGGAGAGAATATAACAAGAATATTGTCATCCCTAGATGCAAGCAGTGATTATCCTTTTTTTCCCTTTTTAATAGCCTTGAGGTTGATTTCTTAATTTTCTTCTACAACTTCAGTTTCACAACTTTTCAGAAAAACACAAAACTCAGTAAAGGAGACCACTGCCTAACAAGCTGGCTCCAGGCATGACCAAAAGCTCGAGCGATGGGCTGTCTTCCTCAGAATATCAAGTCCAAAATGGCCAGTGACAGGCAGCAGACAGTGCAGGGTTAGTACCCACCTTCTCCATAGGAAGCCTCATGTGCTTGCATTCCCAGGTCTGCTATCAATTAGGAGCAAAAGAACAGGTGATTGGCTCAAAAGATGAGCTTTGTAAATGGAGTCATAGATTTTAGAAAGGGCCTAGGGACAATCAAGATGCACCTGGAATCTAGTCCTTAGTACACCAGGTATACTTTTACACCAGTCCTTAGTACACCAGGTGTACTTTTGTGTAAAAGGAGTGGAGTGTGTGCACAAAGGTTCTGAAACTGTCCACAACTGCCTCTTGCATATGGGACTTAACTTTGTTAGTTATGGACAAAATCTTCTCTCATCTCTGAATCAGTAGGTCATAGACCAGTATTTCTGAAGGACTTTTGAGCTGGAAATTGTGTGTGTGAGCGCATGAACAGAGTTTGAGACTCTGCTCCCTAAAAGCAGAGAAAAACAAGGCTTTTCAGCAAGCCCGAGGAGGGAAGGGTCCTTTCCTTTTCCCTTTCCATATGGTAAGCCTCACGGTGGGTGAGTCCCTTCTGTCAAATCAGCACACTTCACGCAGTAACTCTGGCCCAAGGCAAGGAGAACCCCCTCAGGTAAAGTAGCAAGTGAGAATTTTCCAAATAACTACTGATTTTACAGCAAGAAGTTTTTCTAACTCCATAACCTACAAGTTGCAATATATATATTTAAGTTCACCAAACATGAACTAGCCTTCATGCATCACGCAATGCCTTTCACATATTTGAAGAAATACCAGAAAGGTGAGCATTTGAGTTACTCTTTGTGCCAGTTTTTCATTAAAAAGGACTTTAAAATATTCCTCTTCCAGTTGATTAGCATGAAATAATAAATACACAAGTAGAGTGGTATGGACTGCATGCTTGAGTCCTTCCAAAGTTCTAGGCTCCAGTATAAAGGTATTGGGAGTTGGGGCTTTAGGGAAGTAATTAGGTCATGAGGGTGGGGTCATCATGACATGATTATTGACCTTATAAGAAAAGAGAGCTCCCTAGCATTCTCTTTTCTCTCTCCCCCTAAAATAAGGTTATCTGCAAACAAGGACAAGACCTTCCCTAGGAACTGAGCCAGCTAGCACCATAACCTGGACTTCCCAGCCTCTAGAACTGTGAGAAATAAATATTCCTCATTCAAGCCACGGAGTCCAGTGCTTTTTTATAGCAACACAAGCTGACTAAGCCATGGAGTAACTCCAAAAATGAATAAAATCAAGTTTCACTGCCCAAACCAGAGTGACCACCAAAAGTAGTTTATTTTTTAAGATGTTTACCTTTCACATAATCTTTAGGCAAGTAGTTTGTGATTATTTTCATCCCAAAGGAAATTATGTCATGCACTTATTAATAAGGGTGGGAAGAGAATGTGAACCAGTGGTCTGTGAAAACTAATCACATATACAATAGGTGAGAACATCCATTTGAGGCCGTAATCTCCAACCCGTTCATGCCCTGGGTGAAAAAGATAACATGAGGTTTTTCTTCACTGGTAAAATTCGAAATGTTAAACAGAGGTTTACTTCCTGCAACTCTTGGGGGATGGAAGCTATGAGTAAATACTTCTTAGAAGGACTTTTTTTGAAGCTAATGAAGTGAAATGTGGGGCTGCTGATGGTCATTAGGCCAAAGCAAGCAACAAGTGCTTTGGCCTGGGGTTGGGGTGGGGGAATTAAAACAACAAAACCCCACGAAACAGATTCCAAAATTCCATGTTTGGTGGGAGAAAAAAAACATCTGAGCAGATATAAATAGAGACAGGAAATGGACAAATACATACATTGAAACACTACTTAATAGTATTAACAGGATTTTCTTTCAGAACCTTTGTTCTAAAATAGACGGTACTGCCCCCTAGAGGCCATTTTGGAAATAGAGGCGACTGGGAGGTAGTGGTAATGGGAGGCCACTACTTGCATTTACTAGGTGAGATCATAGACACCTATGAACAGACTCATCGCAGCAAAGAATAACTCAATTAGCCGGCATGGTGACACATGCATGTAATACCAGCACTCTAAGATTCTGAGGCAGAGGGACTGCAAGACGAAGCCCAGCCTGGGAAACTTTGTGAGTCCTTCTTTCAAAATAAAAAATAAAAGGACTGGAACACACACACACACACACACACAAACACACACACACACACACACACACACTCGAGCCTACTAGCACTTTCAATTGTTCCCTAAATATTCAAGGGGATGAAAATCTAGTTTAAAATTATATACTGTATATGCTTTCACTTTTTATACAAACAGAATTATAGCTCAGTTTCAAAATCCTTTGGATTTTTCAGGAATGCAATTAGAGTGTCCTATACATGAAGGGAGCCTGTGCAGGACTGACGATGAGCACAGAAGCCAGAACCAGACAGCCTCCACCTTCCCTCTAGCTCTGCCATGACTGTATTAGCTGCGTAGCTTGGGATAACTTCCTCCCAAGTAAAATGGGAGTAACAGCGGCACTCATCTCATGGAGACAGTAAGCTTTTGAAACACTTCTAGGCACACAGTAAACTCGGTAAAGTGAAGCTATCACAGACATCTGTTTTATCTCAACCTTTATCAGGAATTAACCACATTTTGGAAAATCAGTCTAGCTACTAGTATTGAATGGCCAATGTAAGCTGGCCTGTATTGGTCTGCATTTATAGCTACCATGTGTGTGCTACATACAGCTATTGTGTACATGTGGAAACACACATGTATACATATACATGTACATATACAGTACTTATTTACATGCGGTAATCAAAAATGTTTAACATTTTTAATTTTATTACAGTAGAAGACCATACATGGCCATTAATCTCCCTCAAAATACTCTCCCTTGCTTTGAGCATATATTCCATTATTCCTGCCACTTTCTGTAGCAGTTCTAGAAGTCGTCTTTTGTGTCCTTACAAAGTGTGAGCAAAAATACAATGAATGCTGCTGCAAAGTGCCATCCAACAGAAATATAGACTTGTAAAAGCTTTTCTGTGTGTCCTCAGCCACCTTATTTACTAGATCTGATGCTGTACAACTTCTGGCTCTTTCCCACCAGAAGTCAAACATTTTGAAGCAATTCGGGACATAGAGGCAGCCATGACAGCACAGCTAATGACACAAAAGAGGACTTCCAGAACTGCTTCAGAAAGGGACAAGAACAATGGGATAAATGTGTTTGAAGCAAGGGAAAGCATTTAGAAGGGGATTAATGGTAGCATGTCTTTTACAGTAATAATTTTTTAAAATTTAAAAACATTTTTTAATCACCTCATATATACACACTTGTTTCATCATTTAATAACCTATAATATAATCATGCCAGAACATTTACATATTAAAATAATACCACTGTAAAACTCTTATACTTCAGTAAGGACCTGACACTGTGTGCCTGCTTTGAAGTAGGTTATATTACCAGTTAACTTCATTTCACATTAGTAAGGGGTGTGATGCTTTTTTTGTGTGAATGTCTTACCTGATTTTTATTTGATGATTATAGAGATGTTATAAAATATTTATTATTTTAAAAGGTGAGGCTTGAATAGGGCTGATAAGACTAAAAGAACGCTTTTAAATTATTTAATCCTGCATCTTCATATGTTAACATGTGTCCACCATTAACCTGGATTAATGTGGAGGAAAGCAATTTCCATTCATTTCTAAGAAATTCATATCAGCTATCATTTATATATTTTAAAAATAGAGGTGTACAAAAATTTTTTAGCAGCAATGTATTTCACAAATATTATTCAGGAGAGAATCCCACATAAAAGTACAAATAAAAACAAAACTATGGAGGACTAACTAGGTAGGTGAAGTAGAACCTTCTCTGACCTTCCCATGGGGCTTCAGGAGAGGTCTGAGAAGTGGGATTTGATGCTGCAGAGTTAAGAGTGAGTTCTGAAAGTTCAGCTTCAATTTACAAGTGGTATTTTCCCCATAGACAAGGGACCACCATGCCAGATAAGACCTCCGAAGGTTTTTAAATCATTAAGTAGTGGAACTGCAACACAAGAGCCCTCCCCTAAATCTAGGAGCAAAAGGAAACAGACCCACTTCTGGGCACCGAGCCAGCTCAGTGAATGGTAGAATTGGCAAGTCTGGCTCTCCTTTTATGTAGCTCCCCCCCCGCCACCAGTGTCCTGTGAATACACTCTGCCCTGTTACATATGAGGCACCCAATCAATCTTGCCTTTCAAGATCTTCTTACCTAGTCTGCATAGCACATGTAGGTCCTGTCCTCCACGCAATACACTATCTTCCTGCAGCTCCCTCTGAGGCTAACAGGAAAATAGCCCCTATGACTTCAGTCACACTCACATGAGTGGCTGCTGGCTCCCTTAACCTCACTACAGCAGAGGCATTTTAGAGGAAAGAGTTTTACTGACTGGTGTGAATTTCTCATGGGCTGAATTTCAGGCAAGTCAGCAAAGTAAACAATTCCACAGTGTGAAAGTATGTATTTGAGGTAGGGGATACCAGCTACGCCTAGGAATATACCTTGGAGAATTCCCCTATTATAATTTTATTTTACATATGTTCCTTCAGCGCCTCCACTACTAATTCATAAAAATCCCAAAATGCCTGAGGCTTTATTGTGTTTTTTAATATTAGTGCCCAAACTGGCAAAAAACAGGCTGGTCACTTGTAAGTCTAAAAACACCTTCAACACTCATTTTCATTAACTTCGTGAATGACGCAAAACAAATATTTCAATTACATGTGACTTAGAGTAAGAAAAATATACAACTATATTTAAAACACTTAAATTAACAAGACAGTACTTTTCCATTCTAACAAAATATCATACATTCAGTTTAAACAAGAGTTAATATTCAGATGCACTTTTTCAAAATACCTGAAGCTATTTGAAAGTTAGTGACCACGAGGCTTTCCAAGATATTTCTAATTAGGAAAATGTGTCCAATGTTGAAGAACTGTAGGTTCTTCCCAAAAGACAGACATCAAACAGGTCCAAAATGCAAACTGATAGATCTCTCACAAACCTAAATCCTGTTGCTTTAGCTTTTCTGAATGATACTTTGGCTTTCAGCAAATCTTATAGCTTCTTTTCCCTTAAAGACAATAATATACAAGGACGACAATTCCTCTCACAAATAACCACACTCCTCTGTGTGTAACAAGCTCATCCACATGTTCTTCTGTATTAACTGACCTAGGCTGAGCTTGCTGAGTAAGGGGAGCAACCAAATGTAACAGACCTACGTAAACCTCTGCTCTGAAGAGCCTCACACACTTGCCACGTGTGCTTTCAAAGTCGAAGCCACAGTATTTACAAATAATGATACATTATGCTTTAAAAATCTAGACATAAATCTTTTCTCCTACTGGCTTTTTCAGGTAAAGAAGGTGGACCAGAAGCCAACACATCTACATGACAAAAGCCACGAATCTGAGTCCCCTCACCCAAGAAAACACAATAGCAGACGCTACAGGCCCCCAACAATAACCACATCGCGTCTGGCCAACACCCGATTTGTAGATGTGCCTCCATGTCCTTCTCCTGCCTCCATGAGCGGCCCCTAGGACCCCCTGGATGTTCTGCCATCAATCACTTCCAAGGTCTAATTAGGGCAGTATACAACTTTCTACGAAATACAAAGGAAATGATGCAAGGTCACTCGGGTCCCCGGGAACAAGGCACTTAGGAGCAGGCGCCCGCGGAGGCCTCAGTGAGTTAACAGCTTCAGGCGCGTGAGCCAGCTGACCAGCAGGGACGGCTCCGCGGAGGCCGCCTTCTTCTTACTCCCCTCCTCCGGGAACGGGATGGTGGCGCTGCTGTGCAGGTCTGCGTTGATGTGGCATCTGCTCCCACGGATGTAGTCTGCACCGCGCACCAGCTGCCGCTCTGTCGCGGGCCGGGAGAACCTGTACCCGGTGGAGGCGCTCTCTTCGATGACTGGTGGGATCCGCTCATTACTGAAATACCGGCAAAGGGCGTCCTCCCCTGTGTCCAGACAAAGTCCATTAAAATGGCAATCCACTGCAAGCCATGATTGGAAAATAAAAAAAAAAAAAAGACACCAAAAACACACATGCATGTGGAACCCAGCTCATCCCCCAGTGTTTGAAAACAGAAGGAAGAGGGCCAGTGTGCTTCAGGATGGTTTCCCACCTCAGGGGTAACAGAAGGCTCCCGCACATCCAGAGAACCTATACTTTTTTATTAATAGAAGGAATTTTCATAATTCATTTAAAATAAAAATCCAATGACGGTGCCCTGTTTGGTGGTGCATGCCTATAGTCCCAGCAGTGCAGGAGGCTGAGGCAGGAGGATCATAAGTTTGAGACCAATTTGGGCAATTTATCAAACTTAGGGAAAGTCTGTCTCAAAATTTAAAAACTTAAAAGAGGGCTGGGAAATGGCAGCTCAGTGTAAAAGCCCCAGGATCAATCCTCAGTACAGGAAAAAGAAAAAGAAAAAGAAAACCAAAAGAGCGACAGAACAAGGTATGATTCTATCACTCCTTTCCGCAGCTGTTCTTGCTCAGTGCTGCAGCATGACGCCCATGCCCCCAGGGCGGTGTTTCTTGTCATGGATCATGTCAAGGAACACTTAGGAAAGTGGGGTTCCCTCAGCTGTCAGCCAAAGATTCAAAGCTTTCAATGTCCTAAACTGTGGGGGCATTCCTAAAAAAAAAAAAGAAAAGAAAAGAAAAGAAAGGATCTTGCTTCTTGCTTTAAATGGCAGCTGACCTTTTGAGGAGAGGCTGGCATTTAAGAAACTGAATAGAAATGTAAAATACAGGACACACTGACAACATGTAGCATTCTTTAGAAATTCCTCTCCCCAAAATGTGCAGAGATTTACAAGTATGCTTACTGAAATGTTATCCATAATAGGAGGGAAAAGCCACAGAAATAACCTACCAGCAACCAGCAACAGCAAACTGAATAAACAGGTGCTCCAGGCAAGACAGGCCACACTAATGCAGCTATATTAAGAAATTACATGGTCTAGATAATATTCAAATTACACGGTGTTACTGAACATCTATTTCTTCCACTTTCCAGGTTTTGTTCAGTGTGTAATATGTAAATAAAGGAACTGGAAGAGACACAAAACATTCACAGTGATTGTTCCTAGGTTTTAGAAGCAGATTTCAGTCGAGTTTTGTTTTCTTTCTTTCCTTCTTTTTGGCCTTACTGTGAACTGAATTCAGGGCCTTCACACTAAGCTACATTCCCACCCACCTCCTTTTAAACTCTGAGACACTGTCTCACTAAGTCACTGGGCTGAGTTTGAACTTGTGATCCTTCTACCTCTACCTTTCAGACTGCTGTACCTTCCATATTACAGCTACATGCCACCACTCTTGACTCAAGTTTTACTTTCTCATGTCTTCTAGATGTTTTTCAATGTACCTGTTTTGCTTTTGTAATCAAAAGGGAAAAATAATTTTTCAGAAGTGCTCCTTGTCAAAAAGCTATATATTGTATGGGCCTATTTCTATGAAATTTCCAGAATAAACAAATCCATGGACAAAAAGTAGATTAGCGAGTGTCAGGGGCTGGGGAGGCTGGAATTCAGAGTGACTGCTAATAGTACAGGTGATAATGAAAATGTTTTGAAGTGACAAAAATGTTCTGGAATTAGACTGCAGTGGTTGAGACATACCTCTGAATACACTAAAAAACCACCAGGTGGTACATTTTAAAAAGATGAACTTTATGCTATATGAGTTATAGTCCCAAAATACTGTTATTCTTTTAACATGCCCACATGCAGATAAATACCTTTAATTCTGAGGTAAGAAATGCAGAAGAAGGAATAGAGGGACAAGTATTTTTTCCATTTTCCACATTCACCCTCCCCAACTCTATACTCCACCACTCAATATATACAAGAAAGAAATCTACACTTACAAGAATGGCAATGAAGATGCTACCACCTCTAAATCTAAACGAAGGACAGCCCTGCCACCTGCTGACTGCTCCACAGATTCTCACATGTGCACTAAGGGTATCCTGAAGCACAGACTGGCATCCTGTCCCTCTGTCACTTTAGCATAATCCAGGTGATACAGGTACTTGGGTGAAAAACTTTACCAAGTCCCTAACAGATGTCAGGAGTTGATCATTTGGAAGGTTAGGCCTCCAGAATTTTTTTCTTCTTTCATTTACTACCTAAGAGTTATTGTACTTTTAACTTTTCAAGTGCTCTTTGCTTCAACTTTGCAGAAGCAATGTTCTAATGTCTTGCCATGATAATCAAATGCAATCTGGCAAAAAATAAATAAATAAAAGTGTTCTTAAGCATTTCCCTTTGGATTAGAATAGTAACTAGTAACTCTGATTATAGGGTGAATGAAACGCGAGTTTCTTTCAAATAGTAATTACTCAAATACTACTTATTCTCTAACCCAAGAAGGATTGGGGAGAAAAAATTCATGTTTGTTCATCAGAAATCAAACAGACTCCAATTGATAATAGTCATAAAACTTAGAATGAGATTATTTAATGAGTAATTTATTTCTACTTGTTTAAAAATTGGGCCATTTATGTCTACAGCCTTTTTAAAATCCACAATGTTCATTAGGAGATTTATAAGCACTAACTATGTTTATGTAATTTTGCCATTCTGGAAATAAGTATGATCTCAGAGCTCCTTAGCAGGCCCAATCTAACACATGACAAATGGCATTCAGAAAAGCTAAGTTCTCCTCCAGTATTGTAAACATATTTAAGAGCAGAGTGGAGATGTGGAGCTGGGTCTTTTTGATTTTGCATGGTGTGTTTTGTCAAGTTAGATGAAACATACCTTTCCTCCCATGACCTCGAGGTCTGGCAAAAGGGTCTACAATCCCCATCCAGTTCCCGTCTGCAGGCATGGACAAAGGTCGGGGCCTGCCTGCAGAGGGATGAGAAGGAAGGTGTCAAAGTTAGCCAGTGTGGACACTATACACAATCTTTTCCTTTATTTATCACTTAGATCCCACACTAACACTTATGCAGAAGCAATAACAAGTTTTAAAATACAGAAAGTATTTTAAAGCACCATGTTTCCATAGTAAGCAATTAGGACAGAGGCGTGCTAAACCTGAGCCTTTGCATCTATAACTCCACAGTTAAAACCCAGGCACTGAAAGTTAAAACTGTAATGTGAGCTCACCCAGCTGGGCTTTGATGCCAGGCAGAGTAATGACTCAACAAGGCTTTGCTTTAGAGAGATGAATAAAGGTCTCATATTTAGAATTTCACTGTGGTTTATGTTTTCCTTGGATTACCCTTCACGCTTGCCAAATTCACACGTCAGTTCCAAATAAGGAAGGGGGTGGGAAAGACAAGTAAAAGGAAATGGCAGAACAAGACAAACACTCAAGACCTTACCATAAGATGGTGTTTTCTCTCTCATTTTTGTGGGTAGAACATTGGTTTCCACTGAATACCCAGGCAACTGATCAGAATCCGCAATGGTAAATCTTCGTCTTTGGCTCTCTTGATCCAAGAAGGAATTTGGGGACTCTGAACCCTTAGGCCTGGGCAGTGGTTGTTTACACTTGCTGAATCCTCCATAAACAAAACTCCCTTTCTCATCCCTGGAAGACAATGTGCAATAATTAAATTGCTCATAAGCACTCTCACCTACTGAAGAATTCTAGGACCCATGCTACCTTTAGCACACAAAATTTACCTCCTTCTTTCCCAATGAGGGAAAAGCATTAGTTTATTCAACTCCGGTTAACACTAAATTACATATAGACCCTATTAATAAAGAACAAACGCCATCACTCTATTAAGTCAGAGGAAAGGCAGTGTTTCCTGCATATGTCTTAATAGTACATATATGCCTTGGCAAAGTTTTAGCTTTAGTTTTCCTTTGTTTAAACCTGTAATTGAATCTCCTGTTTAGAACAGAAATCAGAAGTTAAGGTATGTGCTACTGAAATGTTTTTCTCAAGCCAAAAGTAGTATCCTTCCCAAGATCCAGTAAAGAAGACTCTCGATCCATAATGAAGTTGTTGGATTTGAAAATTATGCCAACTATACAAAAGGCCCTTTAAAATAACCAGTGGAGAGTGACTATTGCTGAACTCAATAAAGAAACTGGAAAAAGCTGGATCACTGATTACATCCTAATTCTATCTAAATGTCAGTTTTTAATAAAACACAGTATTCGTCAAATTCAAGTTACAGATGTTTCTTTGCTTTCCTTTTTTTTTTTCTGCATTTAGCAAATTCCATTTAGGTAATCACTACAAACATTACTGGACAAAACCCAGAATGAGGTAAGTCCCAAAGCAATCTCCTGATCACTTTTGCCTGTGTGTGGCAATCCCAGGTGTGCTTGCTGTCTGCTTACCCCTCCCACCCAAGAATCTCTTTCTCCACTTTTAAACCTGGCATCTAACTTCCCCACTCATAAACCTTGCGTGACTCACCACTCATTTCTCTGCAATCCATTTGCATTTTTATTACTCAGAAAATATCCTTCATTAGTGTAAGTGTAGGTGGGTACACAAGTACACGTCTAACCCAGACAGACTGAAAGCTCCACTCCCTTTGTCCTTTTTCTGCACTATTTCTGTGACCCACCCAAAGGCTCAGAGAAGAATATTCAGGGTCAGTCTCCCACAAGCTGGGCAAGTGCTCTGCCACTGAGCCACATCCCCAGTGGCCCCTACAGTTTCTGATGCAACAACCCACACTTTGGCTGTCAGTGAAACTAAGCTTTGTGAAGCCAATCACTGCCCTGTACCCTTAAACTCCCTTCAGATCCTGTGACCGCATGTCTCTGGCCTGTGACTCCAAGGCAGAGGGCTCTCTACAGCCAAAATGCCCCTGATCACTTGAGGTAAATCCTCCACATGCTGTCTTGCATTCCACGTAAAACCATGGGAATCTTCTCTGACCCCAGGGAAAATGCATAAAAGAAGCAAACAGCTCAGCTAAATAAAAACAAATCAATGGAAAATTCCAATGTGAAGAAAAATGCCACAACAAAAAATGTGGCCTGAACTTTAGTGTTATGAAATATAGTATAATTGTGTATTTCCCAATTTATTCTTAAACAGCTGAATGAGACACTGGCAGGTTTCTGGGGGGTCAGCTTTGTTTTGTGTCTGGTGATCACCCAGACTCGGCAGTCAGTAAGCACATGCTGAGGAAAGGATCCAGATCCTCTAGTCTTTCCAGCATATAATATGTGAGTTGGTATAAATAAGCCTAGAAGGTACCTAAATCATCACCTGTCTCCCCTATACCACCCTGTATGACCACCCTTGTTATACCATATTACACTGAAGATGGCCACGAAGAAAGCAACTGTCTTTAAGACGTCATACCCCCCAGACACAGACACATGCATGTTTACAGACCACACTACCCTCGCACAGTTTTGTAAAAGTGCCATGAAGAATACCTTTCTCAGCAAAATCAAGGTACAACATTCCTAACTCTCCAGAGATGAATTTATCAATGAAACTTAAGCTGCAGAGACCTCCAAACAGCCCCTTCCAAGATTCCATAAGGAACACATACTTTTGTAAATTTTTCACAAGTAAAATATTTTGGTATTCTTTTCTTAGAAGGCCCCTCTCCAACAAGCTGCATGACCCCGTATAACACAGGCCTCCCCCTGAATTTCCTGTGCAGCAGGACTATCATACTCCCAGACTCAGCCCGGTCATACTGCAGTCCAGCAACCTCCTCTCTTAGCTCTAGGGGCTCCTCACACCACCACTCAGAATCTGCATGTACAGGAGATGTGTGAAAATGGGAGTGACATACCGGGGAGAGTAGGGGACCGCGGGTGGAGGAGGAATGTACAGATCCAGGATGGCTGGCTTCTCCTTCTTCAGCGACGTATCCAAGGTGCTTTCAGGGGACTGGGTTGTCATGGGTGGGGGCAAGGTCTGTAACAGCACAGCACAGAGAGCAAAAGAGCAGAGGTCAGTGCAGAGATTACCCTGAGCATACCTTCCCCTCCCTGACCCAAGACCAACGCCTTGTGCAAGCAGAGGCTAAAGTCATCCATCTATTCACAGCTACCAAGAGGAGTCAACTTGTAGGCTTCTTGGAGACACTCAGTGTTAACTGAGGGTGTTCAGGAGTCAGGTGGCAAGATTGTAACTCTAGCTCTGGGGCTATCAAATATTCATGCTTCTTCTTTTTCCTCTATAAAACAGGGACACTGACAGTATGGCTTACAGAAAGGTGCAGTATGCATTTGGTTCATGAAAATCACTAACAAGGCTACCACTGACAAGGAGGGTGGGCTTGGCACTCTGGTGTGACCCTCAATATCCTTCTGATCAGTTCTGTGTCGCTGAGCCAGTGACTCAACTCCCCTGTGCCTCATCTATAAAATGGCAATTGATGGAAATAAGAATGGTACTCAAGAGGGTAGCTGTGAAAATTGAGACCATAAATATAAAGAGCCTGGAACACTGCTTGTCATATAGATGAGTATACAACTTTATACTATATTTAACTTAGTAATGGACACGCATCCACACATACAATATATATGGCTCAAGGAGATGCACGGGCACCCAGGCTCACACAGGAGGCTGCCATTCCATCCCTAAGTGAGGGTAGATTCCAGGGAGCAGCTGTGTGGCCTGGACCAGCACGGGTGCAGGCGGATCCCAGCCGGGGCTCCGCCCTGACCCCAGAGACTCAGGCACACCCACCCAAGCCAAAGGCCTGCCCAGAAAGGAGCTGCAAAGGCACACAGGCTTCAGCCAGAGGCTCACCATACCCTCAGCCAGAGCCATGGACCCGCCTGGAGAAGAGCTGTACAGGCACACAGCAATACCCAGAAGCTCACCCCAATACCACTGATAAGTGCGAGAAGACCCTACCCAAAGCCTGTGCAGACAAGAGAAACTGGGGTGCACAGCCCCCAACCAAAGGCCCTCCCAGACAATAGCTACACAGGGTACCCAGTGAGAGGCATGCCTAGATACCATCCCAAGTGTGCTCGGGCCCCAGCCAGAAGCCTGCCCAGGCAACAGGTCAGCTCAGGGAACTAGAAGGCCACCACTGTGAAGCCAGGAATTGGTGTATTGGTGAGCGGCAGAGTAAAGGCTGCTCGGTGGCTTGTGAGAATTCAAGACCACTGGGTGAGCAAAAAGTCGCCTCAACAAAGGCACAACAGACTGCCTCTGCTGAAATGAGAAAACATGTAAATAAGTCTCAAAACCAGACTTCAAGATCACCTAAGGCAACCCCAAAGGGAAACGAGATGGAACAATCTGATATTCAACCACCTGGACTCCCTGAACTGG